GCCTCCCCCTGTACCTCCTCGACACCAGTACTAATACACCCATCCAGCAGGAGACGGTCTTGTCGCCGCTCGCCATCTCGCACAGTACGGCTACACGCCGTCCATCTACTATCCAAAAGAAGGCAAGAACGAGCTCTACCAGGTGAGTTCCCCCTCTCCCAACCATGGAGAAAGCCAACTCTGACATGAATGAGCGCCTCAAAACCCAACTCCACAACCTCTCCGTCCCCTTCATCACCGACTTCCCTGCCGCCTTGAAAACCACCGATTTCCTCGTCGACTCCATCTTCGGCTTCTCCTTCGGCGGCCCCCTGCGCGAGCCCTTTCCCGCCATCATCGCCGCGATGGAGTCTGCTCCCGTGCCGGTGCTGAGCGTCGACGCCCCCAGCTCGTGGGATATCGAGAGCGGGCCACCAAAGGACGGGCCCGGAGCGAAGTTCATGCCGCAGTATCTGATTAGTTTGACGGCACCGAAGCCGTGTGTCAAGTTCTACCGTGGGCGCCATTTTCTGGGCGGAAGGTTCCTCACAAGGAGTATTGCGGAGAAGTATGGTCTGGATTTGCCGCAGTATCCGGGTATTGATCAGGTAGTGGAGGTGGGCGTCGATGCGGAGGGAAGACTGTGAGCTTCCTTTTCTGACAGCTGCGTACATGACGGGTCATGTAGAGCCTGATACAATCATGTTCTGAATGCGCCTTTTCAATATAAATAATAATCTTTGATCATTCTCTGGTATATTGGAACTCTTGCTTGTACTATCCTGGTATTGACATGTAAATACACTTATCAACTATCAGATCACGACATGGCTGCTCGGATCTCCCCAACAATGCTCTTGATTCTTGGTTCTTTCCCAAGACCAGACCCCATCACCACCCCGAAAATCTTCTCCACGTCATAAACCTCCTTCGCAGCACTCTTAATTTCCTCTCCGAGAGACGTCACCAATGTCCCCAACGCCACCAGGCTGCGATATACGGCTTCCGAGTCCTTCTCACCGGTAAGCATCTTCGTCAAGTCCGCGAGAAGCACCAGGCCCCGCTCGGCAGACTCGGGCGCAGACTCCCGGCCTTCAGAGGTGAAATAAACAGCAAAGTTGATGTATAACGTCGCCACCGCAATGGTCAGATTGCGGTTGGGTGTGGCTCCGCTATTTGCCAATGCCGACTGCACAGCACTCACGATTTGATCGAATTTGCTCACAACCAGTTGACGACCGGCGTCGGTTTCGAACAGATTGGCAAACATACGTGTGGCCAGCATTGCGTTATTGACATTCAGCGGTGCATTGAAGACCCCGCTTGCCTGAAGGCCAGAGATCAGATCCTGGCCACTGTAGTCGACGGTAGCCGTCACTGGAGTGGATGCCGCGCACAAACGGAGCAGGTCGAGACCCGGGAGTCGGTTCGGAACCGGCCATGAAGTTGCAATCTTAAACAGCAAAGACACGCCACTTTCGACGACAGGCGAGGGCTTGAGACGGTCCGAGGATTCGAGCTGTCCACACAGAGCCACCACCGTCTCCACTTCAGGGGGGCTCAGAGACAATTCCTTCGACCCTGATGACACGAGCTGGTCGTTGATTTCGCCCAGCTTCTTGGCGATTACTTTGAGGTTTGCGGACTTGATGGAGAGGTAGGTTTTCTGAGGAAGAACTTTAGGACGAGACTCAGGGATAGTTGGAGGCTCAGGAGCAGCATCACCCGGGCGGTAGCGTCTGTCCTGGCCCCAGGGATCGGATCCTGCAGGCTCCTGACTAGACTGACCCAGGGTTGCACCCTGCGTGTTCTGGACGATAAACTGCGCCACCTGATCCAAGTAGCTCATGGGGAGTTCGTTGTCCTGGATGAACTTTGTCGCAGCTTCGTAAGGATTTTGAGAAACATTGTAAGGTAGTTTCAAAGGAGGCTTGCCGTCTTCCACGTCGACATCGAATACGTAGTCGTAATCTTGTCCGAGGTACTCTGTTCTCTTGCCACTGCTGGCAGCGGCATCGACAACCGTGCCGACAGCGACCCATTCGTGCGAGGCTGCAGACCAAGTGTGCGCGGTGATACTGCCGTTGTCTTCCCGGATCATCTGCACCTGTCCATCTTTGGTTCCCGACTTCTGTTTGAGGAACTCCGGCCCAGGGAGCTTCTCCTTATTGATGTTTCCAACTTGCTGCTGCGGGATGGCGGATTCTTTCACAGTCTGCTCGAAGTGTTGCACAACGTTGGGGCTCGCTATCCGATCTTCGCTGCGACTAAAGACCCGGGCGATGCGGTCGCTCGCACCGGTGATGATATCGCCATTCTCCCTGCAGGCTGCAACGCTCCAGACGGATATAGCGGGGTGAGTGATAGTCTGGACGCACTGTGTCCCGCTCCACACTCTGACCGTACGGTCTTCTCCCGAACTAACCAATTCGCCCGAGGGCAGGGCGTCAAGAGAGTAGATGAAGCTCTCGTGGCCATGCAGCTCAGCGACTATATCACCCTGGATAGTGTAGAGTCGGATAATACCGTCGTTACTGGCGGCGGCGAAGTGTGCACCAGTCGGATTGGAAGCAGGAAGTCTGCAAAGGGCGCGGACAACGTCGCGAGAGTCCTTGATGGTTCTTATAAGGTTTCCAGACGTATTGAATATGCGAATGAGTTTGTCGGCGCAGCCTGACGGAAATGAGCGTTTGTGATAGGTGACAGTTTGCAGACGGCAACTCACCCGTAATGATCGTGTCCTTGTCATATGCTAACACCGCCCAAACGCTACCCTGATGACCCTCAAACACGACGTCACACTCCCACTTACCCACGCGCCATAGTCTCGCCGTTGAGTCCCAAGCACCGCTGACAACCCACCCCCCTTCGGGACAGACATCCAAGGCGCAGACGTTGCCGGCGTGGCCCAGGAGCATTGCGTCAGCATTGTCGTCGGCTACTTTCCCCGGTTGTCTGGCTTCAATTATGGTATCTTGACCGCCGGAAAGGACGAGGCCTTCAGGAAACTCGGGTGTCGGGGGATAATATGCTAAGGTGTTGATGAAGCCGGAGCCGTGGGAAACGATGGAGTAATCGTAGGTAGGAGGCGGGGTAGAGACACGCTTCCACAGGCGAGCCGTTGCATCTCGAGAGGCCGTAAGGACAGCATTGGAGTTCACGAAAGCCACAGCGCGGACCTAGAAAGAAAGATTGTCAGGTTAACGAGGTGTTCTTTAAGAAAGGGGGGTCGTTGTGGTGACTGTTGTGGCCAGGGTGACCCATCCGGGGTTCTTACATCATCGCCGTGGCCCTCCAAAGAAGCGGAGATCCTGAAGTCAGGCATACATAAAGAGTGGGGAGGGGTGCGGGTTAAAAGGGATGTTAGAAGATGATACTAGAGGGAGAATTGAAGGGAGAATGGGGATGGATTATGCAGCGTAGAGGTGAGAGCGATGAAGGAGGAGAGCTGCATGAACTGAGGTGGTCTCTCGATCTATGGACTCCGCCCGTTTTGGTTGGTTGTTGTTTCCCGATCAGGCACTCGGCGGAGTCCAGAAGGTACCGCTCACGTGGGCGGTCAGCAGCTGGAAGTTGCTAGAACCAGGCACGTGATGCTGACAGAGCACCTAATCCTCATTAGTACTAGCTGACAATGAGCTATCTACAATATGTAGGTACGGAGTACAGTTGTAGATGGGATCAATCCACTGGTTATTGTCTTACTACCTAGTACCATTTAAAGTGGGACTACTGCACGTGGTAAGCACCTAGATCAACAGGATATATGAGGTGATATGGATCTCATGTCATTCTGTGTTCTTAGCAGTCAGCTTAAGTAGAATGTACAGCCGGAGTGCGGATATATATATTTCCCTTCATCGACTGCAAGGTGTAATGGATACTAGGTCGTCTTATAGCGTATACCATAGCGATCGGTACAATGATCTATACACCTGCAGACACCTATAGACAGCCTAAATGCTCTACGGACGGAATATTGGTGAGAGTTGTAGTGATTACATAATTGAACCTTCTCCGGCTTACATAATATCACGACATCATTTCTCCAACCTCAAGTTCTCAACCACGGCCTCACTCATCCTCTCATCTTCCTCCCGTCGGACTGGGGATCTCTACACGCTCGAAGGATTGGTGGATTATTTGTCTTGGAGTCGAGCTTCTTTCCTTCATTTCTCCTCGTTCTTTCGTCGTTTTCGTTCTTCATCTGCTGATCTTTGTGATTCCCATAACCCCGCCATTATCTATGGATTGATGACTTGACGAGATTGACGAATTTTCTTCTGTGTACTTCTACAACGACTTGTTTTCTACCGGCATTGGCTTGTCATACCTACGGTGTTATTCCTTTCTACCCCCGTGCTCCATGGTGATTCGCTCCATCTACACCTAATCGCTCTCCTGAACAACAACCTTCACCAATTGACACTCTATACCTCCAATTCCTTGCGAAAATGGCGTCCGGTAAGCTTTACGCTTTCAAATCCTCGTCTAAGTCATCAATGCTCACTCCCACTACAGACATCCCCAAGGTTGTCCCGTTGACCTGCCACGGACACTCCCGTCCAGTCCCGCATATCAACTTCTCCTCCGCCGTCGAAGATGACCAATACTACCTGATCTCCGCCTGCAAGGGTACTTCCACTCCCCGACACCGCATTCATACCTTCCACTAACTCCCACCAGACAATAACCCCATGCTGCGCGACGGCATCACCGGCGACTGGCACGTCCCCTCCCCTCTCCTCACCATCTGCAACAAGCACAGCTAACCCCCGCAGGATCGGAACCTTCCTAGGCCACAAAGGCGCCGTCTGGCAAGCCCGCCTCTCGACAGACGCCACCATCGCCGCAACCGCCGCCGCCGATTTCTCCGCGTGAGTCGCCCCTCCTCCCCCTCCATCTCACACCATCTAATCCTCCGCCACAGCAAAGTCTGGGACACCCACACCGGCGAATGCCTGCACACCCTGCAACACGCGCACATCTGCCGCGCCGTCGCCTTCCCGCTCCAGGCCTCGCCGCAGGTCGTCGCGACGGGCGGCTTCGAGAAAAAGCTCCGCATCTTCGACCTCTCGCGCAGCGGCGGCAACAGCAGCAGTTCCTCGCCGACGCTGCCGTCCCCCGCGACGGCCGAGCCTCCCGCTGCAGGCGCAGGCGCAGCGACGAGCTACGAGATCGGCCCCGGCGTGCATGGCGGCACCATCAAATCCATCGTCTGGAACCGCGATTACAACATCCTCACCACGGCGGCTGAGGACCGAAAGATCCGCTGGTGGGATCTGCGCTCGCGACACCCCGTGCTCGAGTACGCTGTGCAGGGCTCCATAGGCAGCTGCGAACTGAATACGCTTGCGACGCGCCCGAATGACCCAGGGATTTTGACTGTCGCCGCGGGCAAATCCGTGTACCTGTTTGACGGGGCGGCGCCGGGCCGATTGCTCAAGAAGTCGGATTTCGGGTACGAGGTTGCCAGTGCTGCGGTGAATAATGATACCGGCCGGTTGGTGACGGGTAGTGCGGACGATACGTGGGCGCGGGTGTATGATCTGCATACGGATGAGGAACTTGGTATGTGGATGTCTTCGTCGCTCTGGAACCGTTTTACTAACGAGGTGAATAGAAGTGCAGAAAGGCCACCACGGCCCTATCTGGTCCGTCAGCTTCTCGCCGGACGGCAAGCTGTACGGCACCGGCAGCGAGGACGGGACCATCAAGCTGTGGAAGGCGTGTAGAGAACCCTACGGCCTTTGGCGGTGAAGGAACACCCCACGAAATACCGTGCTTTAGTGCCTCCCTTTGTACAAACGGATGGAGATCACTCATGTAGATCATACATCACCCGACAGGAACGGCGCAGCCGGACGTCAAACTGCTGTATGTACATCACAGTACCATTCTCACACCAATACCTACAACCACAACAACATACGAGTGAAGAAGGAATGTCCATTTTGCTCTACCATAGAACCCATAAGGCAAATAGCAGCAGATACCTAGCAAGTAGTCACAGAAAATAGGGAAAGACTTCACCCTCACTCAATCATGTCGATATCATCATCACCCGCTGCGGCCGTAGACGCAGGCGCAACCTGCGGGGGTTGCTCGGGAATAGCTCTTGTCGCGCTCAGCGCAGCATCGCACAGCCAGTAGTCATCCATCTCAGCATCCAGCTCTTCCTGAGTCTTGCGCGGACGTCCGTTGACCATCCGACGGCCGTCACCGCCACCGCCGCCCTGTCGCCGACCACTGCTCGCCCGAGGACCCGGCGACCGCTCTCCGGGGACATACCGGTCGATGTGGTCGGGCGGGGGCTTCGACACGTCGCTGCGACGGTACCGTCCACCACCACCTCCAGCGCGCCGACCACCGCCACCACCTCTCCGCCGACGGGAACCACCTTCGCCATCACTACCGCCAGGGCTCAAGCTGCGCGCATTGCGGGGGCGCTCAACACGGTCGAACAGACTGCCGCGGGGGCGCTCGACGTTGTCGAAGGGGTTGCGGTCTCGTCGGCCGCCACCGGTGGACACGAGGGTGATGCGGATGGGCTGACCCTTGGCGTTTGCGCCGTCGAACTCGCTGATGGCGGTGCGGGCGTCGCTGACACGGCTGTAGGTGACGAAGGCGACGCCCTCGGAGCGGCCGGCGCGGTCGTAAACAAGGGTTAGGTTCGAGACGGGGCCGATGCGCGAGAACAGATCCTGCCGTAGTCAGCGTATGAAGTCCATAGCAAATACGATGCATCCTACCTCGAGATCCGTCTCGGTGATATCATAATGCAAATTCTCCACGCGGAGCTTCGCGGTGGTCGAGCCGCTGCGTCGATTAGCCTCCTCCTCGTCCTCAAAACACTGGGAAACATACGTATCCCCCGAGGGGGAATAGCGATCGCCGCGGGGTCGGCGATGGGCACGGGTCGGGCGTGCTGAGAGCAGTGTTAAAACATAGTCGGCCGGAAGCCGTCGGGTGAAGTTCAAACGCACTATCTCTGTCGTCTTCGTACTTGTCGTGTACCCAATCCCTGCACCAGTTAGCCACCGCAATTGCACAGCCTCAGCGTCGGCGGACGTACAGATCTAGGTCGACACGGTCTTCTCTGTGAGACTGTTGCGGTCGTAAAGAGGACAAGGTCAGCTCAAATCACAGGGAAACTGCTCCATCACTGTTTTTGTGCGTATTCTGCTTGTTCACGATGCGCTGGGAGGATTCGAAAGGAGAACAGGAGGTAGGACCTGTGATGGGACGTTAGGACTGGTCACAGCCTGCGCCCTGGGATAGCCAATCCATATCGAACGCGTGGGAAGATGGCAAACCTTTTTGACGCCGTCATTGCGACGACCTTGAGGGCGACGGCCGCGATTCTGTCGCTGCTGTTGCTTGAGTTCGTGTCAGCATTCCCGGTATGATGCAATCTGAAGTACGGCTCAGAAAGGACTCACAGGACGCTCAGCAATGATTTCGTCCAGGCTGCGGTCCATGTTCGACATTGTGAGGCTGTAGCGTTGCACAGGACAATGGATTAAAACAGGTGGCCAAACAACTGAGGCCGAGGGAGGATGCAATGGAAGCTTGGAGTGACGAGGGTAACGGAATTTGGGTCGGAAGTGAGAGCGACGCCGCCTTCTGTTTCAGGGTATCACGTGATTCACTATACTACAGAGTACCAAATATCAGAGGACAGTCTGTTCAGCGAATACTGAGCGCTATATTGGACTAATGGTACGAACTAGGGATGTGGTATACATGCAGATTGCACCTTCAAAAGCAGAAAGAATACCAACCGTAATGCAATAAAACAACCTGAGACTGCATGCAATACCTCCTTTTAGCTCCACCAAACACCGGCACCATGAAAGAAAGAACACACAACACCGGCAGTGCTAAACAACCAAAATGCAATTACTGTCCCTGTCCATTAGTAGATGCATCGTCTGAATCCTCGTCCGCCATCATCTTGCCCATAAAACTGATGTAGTCGTACTGCGGGACATCCCGATCCTGCGACTTGACCGGTCCTTGGTGCTTGGGCATCGTCTGCGTAAGGTGCTCGATAAGTTCCTCCGGTATAAGGGACAGTCGGAGGTCCATTTCCGTGACATACGGCTAGAACTCGTTAGATGCGTCTTCACAGCGGGGTTTGAAAACATACCTTTCCATCCGCAACCTCATGGAAACTCTGCAGGACTTGTTCGGCGGTGTTCTGGTCTTCGGTGACGCTGACCATGAACTGGATGAACTGTTCAAAACTGACACCCGCATTTTGCGCCAGTCGTTGTGGACCGCACGTCTCAATGTATACCTGATGCATCTCATCCTCGTCGTACACCAGACCCAGACTCGCGAGGGCCGCAGAGAACTCCAGCTCTTGAAGCGTGTTGGATGCGTCGCGGTCAAAATGCCGGAAGACGGACTCGAACTCTTCCAGTTGGATCGGGGTCAGGTTTGTCATGTTTCGGGCCACCAGTTGGTTTTCCAAGAAGGCCAGCTTCTTCGAGATGCTAGACTTGACCAAAGAAAGTTCATATGAAAGCTCGTCGAGCGTGTAGGTCGTGTAGTCGTTCTCTTCGATGTTCGCCTCAACACACTGTTCGTCAATGGCCGCGATGGTGTCCAAAAATGCGTCCAGCGGAGGAAGGTTATCGTTCAGCCTCTTCACATGCGCGAGTTGATCCTCAACCTCGCCGTCGAGTCCAGATATCGCGAGGGAGAGGGTCTTGAGTGTGAGGGCAAAATCATTCGCTTTGTCGGCGAATGACCGACGGAGGGCATTCTTGATATCCCGAATGGTCTCGTTGATAAGCTGACTGCGCTCGTGCTCGTCGCGCGTGAGAAATTCCCATTCCTGATCGCACACCTCCAATCGTAGTTCCGCCGGCGGATCGTACGGACGAAGCCGGTAGGTACTAAGCTTGGTCTTGATGTTTCCGAGAAGGGCGGCTAGATCGGATTTCTCAGCCACCCACTGGCGTTTCTGGTTGCGTTTGTACTGGGAAAACTGGAACGCCTGTTCCTTAGCATCCTTGTACGTGCCCTCGAACGAAGAATTCTTCCATTGCTCGCGCTGCTCGCGGATGAGGCGCAGGAGCTCCTTCATGCGACGCTCGTACGAGTTCTGCATCTCCCACGCGCCATGCATATTGTTAATGAATTTTTCCACGCGGCGACCAGCATTCTCGACTCTCTCCAGCTGCGAAAATGCATGGAACCAGTAGGCGATGTAGGTCATGAGCGATCGTTCGTCGGGGCGCGCCACATCACAGACATCGTCGACGTCGAGCAAATCCGGGATACCGATTTCGTTGCTCGCGAGATCAAAAGCCAGTTTCATGTTCCCGCGGTGATCCTTCTTGTCGAGGGCGTCAAAGTCGATCAGGTCCGGGCGATGGTTGTCGAGGAGCGCGCAGAAGGCCAGGCCGTCGTTCCAGCTCGTGGAGAAGTCGCGCACCTCGACGCCCGGGTACAGGGCGGTCTTTCGCTGACACCACAACAGCAGTCCCTCCTTGGCGGTCATGCCCTCCTCGTTGATGTCGGTGATGGTGAAGCGCGAGATGAGCGTCCATATTAACCCGAGGATGATCTTGCGGTTCCCGTCCACGATGTCCTCCGCTCCGATGTTGATGGTCTGGATCTTGCGGTCTCGGATGAAGTCGAGCGATTTGTTGACATTCTCGAATTTCTGCACGCGCAGTCGGGGGTCTTTGGCGTACCGTCCGAGGGTTTCGCGGCCGAGGATTTCCAGGAGATGGATGAGGATGACCTGTGCCAGACCCGAACCGTGGTCAGCAGCGGACTCGACGACGAATCGGGCGACGGGGGGATGTACTCACTCCGTTGGAGAGATCGGTGACGAGATCTTCAATGTAGAGGTTGCGGACTTTGATCTTGTCATTCAGCCTGATACCGATGGTTGGTTAGTGGTGGCTGGCCGATGATAGGCTGCGGCATGGGCCACAAAAAGCTGGCGAGGGGGAGGAGCGTGGCAGACGAACCATTTGGTGAAGGTTTTCTGTTGGACATTGACCCACTGCGTCTCAACGGTCAACATGATGGCGGGTGGTCAACGGGGCATTCAGAAAGGGAGGGTCGAGGGGGAGTGAAAGTGATGGAGACGAAAGAGGGGATGATAGAAGACGGAGGGGGGAAATAGTGGAAAAAGGGCAGGATCTTCACGCCGGGGCGACTGAAGGAGGCTTGTGGTGGGGAAGCGCAGTAGTGGCCGACGCCTTTCAGTGACGGATTATCTAGTTTATTATTCTTTCTTCTTTGCAGACCGAAATAGACACAACAACGCATTGACAAAGCGTTGGTTTCAGGGGGGTTCTTGGGATTCTGTTCTATTCTTATGCGGCGTCGTTATCGGCCGTCAACAAACTTCCCCCTTGGGCCCCCACAGCAACCACTGGATGAATCGGCTACTACCGTGAATACGAACCATGAACCATCCATGAACTCTTCGCTCCAGATATTATCTATCCCTGCTTCATCGTCTCCGAAAGCAACTGAACCAGATGCTCACCAACTACGCTCCCAACCAGATCGTATCCGGCCGGCGTCAAATGCAATCCATCATCCCAGACTTTCTTTCTAAACTCCTCCGTCGCAGCATGGTACGGGACCTTGGAATGGAGATCAAACGCATGGCTAGAAGTGCCCGATCAGCAACACATCACTTCGAAATCAAGCATCAGCTTAACTTACAACTTCTCATGCTGGTACCCCAAGATCTGCGCGTTCAACTCCGCCCGTTTCGCATCCAAATTCTTATTGACAGCCGCACACTCCGGCACCGTCAACGCAAGAACATTCGCGCCGGCGCCGAGGGCGGCTTTCCAGGCTTCTTCCAGGGCGGGGAAGATGCGCGCAACTGGATACCCATGGCCCAGGTCACTGCGCTCTAATTAGCACTGAACCAGACTCGACGAGGGTAGGATATGAGAAGTACTGACTTGGTCGCCCCGAGGACTATCACCCAGTCATACGAGATCTCTGCGCCTGCTGTATGGTTAGATGGAGATATGTTCCGGGGTCTCACAAGAACAATGTAGATGTAGGTATACGCACATCTCCGCTGGAGTCGAGGGAGGAAACGTCCCGGTGGGTGGATCACCAGATCGCCCGGGAGCCCGTCAACGTCTACCTGGAAGGTGTGCGAGGGAAAGGCGGCCTTTAGCTTTTCTTCGAGTTCCCACGCGTATGGGTGATAGTCCAGCCCGTATTGGTGGTATCCTGCCGTCAGCGAGTTGCCGAAACAGAGGATGGTGGTTTTGGAGCTCATGGTGTATGGTGCTGCGAAGGGGAGTAGTAGGTACTTTGTACCTGGATGTGAGGCTTAGACTGTCTTATAATGCGCTGATCTCACCGCCTCTGGACCCCAGCGTTTAATGGCGAAATCTATTTCCTTTGTGTTGTCTCTGTGATCGAGTCACCTATCATCGACATGCGTGCTAAGCGCCGGCGCTTGGGTTATGGAGAGCCAACCATAGATTGTCATCTCTAGTCCCCAAGTATTCAGAGTATACCTAGGTAACGGGCGATCTAAATAGCTGTCTATGTGATGGCCAAACGGGATGTCTTTCCATTGCGAAATAGATACCTGCCTTGTACACCACAATCAACACCACGGTGAATTTCCATTAACTAAAAGGTATAAAAACAGAGCTTCTGACTCATGACTAAAATTATTGTTTACTCTTTACCTTATAAATCAGTAGCCACCATAGCCATAGTTGGCGGAAAAGAAAAGAATGGCGCAATCGGGCCAGATCCAAAGCGGGGATGATATCATCAGCGCCGGCGGGGCAGAGGGGAAAAAACCACCGCCTGGATTCTCCCACTTCCATATAACTACCACCCACCTACCTAACGCCTGCAACAAACTATTCCTCCTACATACCTAAATAAACTCTTCTATCATCGAAATGTCCGCATACTCCTTCAGTGACGTCCTCCCCCTCCCCAATTCCGCCGTCAAGATCCCCCGGCTGGGCTTCGGTGTCTACCGCTCCCCGACCAACGTGTGCGTGCAGTCCTGTCTGAAGGCCATCCAGACCGGCTACCGCCACATCGACACCGCGCAGTTCTACGCCAACGAGAAGGAGGTCGGCGAGGCCATCCGTGCGTCCGGCGTCCCGCGCAGCGACCTCTTCGTCACCACCAAGATCCTCAGCCCCGCCGGCTCCCCCGACGCCACCTACGGCAAGCTCCTCGACAGCGTTGAGAAGATCGGCGGCCCCGACGGCTATGTCGACCTGTTCCTCATCCACAGCTCCAAGTCCGGACCCGCCGGCCGCAAGGAGCTGTGGCAGGCGCTGGAGCGGCTGCTCGAGGAGGGCAAGACGCGGAGCATCGGCGTGAGTAACTTTGGCGTGCAGCATATCGAGGAGATGAAGTCGTATGCGAAGGTGTGGCCGCCGCATGTCAATCAGATTGAGGTTGGTTTCCCGTCCCGGTCTTTCCGTTGAAAGAGGTACTGACAAGTATAGCTGCACCCGTGGTGCCAGCAGCGCGTGATCGACGCCTATTGCAAGAAGAACGGCATCATTGTGGAGGCGTACTCGCCCATTGTGCGCAACTACAAAGCCAGCGACCCTACGCTCGTCGATCTGGCGAAGAAATACGAGAAATCCACTCAGCAGGTCCTGATACGCTACGCTCTGCAGAAGGAATGGGTCCCGCTGCCCAAGACGGATAACCCCGATCGCATCATCGCCAATGCGAACGTCTTCGACTTTGACATCAGCGCGGAGGATATGGCCGTGCTGGACGGGCTGGACCAGGGAAGCAGCGGGGCTATTGTGGAGGCCGTGGTGAACGAGTAGACTGGCCGTCGTGTATGATAGATACCCATGATGGGAGGTAGATGATGATACATAATGCGAAGCTCTAATGACTGGATTGCCCGGGTCAGTAATCGGGTCGCTCCATCAGAAAGGCATTGATAGACTGCAGCGTAGACCGCGACGGATTCACCTCGTGTTTCGACGACACGATCCACGCGAGACGCTGGCGGATGAACTGTTTGTCCATGCGTGGTCGGGTGGGGGCGGTAGAGAAGTTTCCTGCCGAGGTCAGCGCATGCTATCAGACCGACCGATATCAACGTACCGTTCTCGTCGTAGAATAGGCAAATAAATCGCCAACGCTGCACCCGCTGATAGATCCTTGCCCCGACTCACAAGTGACCAGCAACGACCGCGACGGATCTGCACCCAGCTGCGCGGCAACAAACGTCTGGACCTTGTCGAGCTGCTTTCGCAGATCGCGACTGCCGAGCTTCAGCGATGCGCACCCCAGATGCAGTCGCCTCGGATCATCCTGCGCAGCCTGCGGATCCCCGTTACAGTCAATGACGAGGTCATAGCGACCGCCGTCATTCACCCGCGCATCCGTCTGGCTGATGTACAGGTTGCGCGTGGGCGCGATGCGCGTAGCCTGATGGTCGGCGCCGTGCGGGCGATGGGTCTCGACCAGCTGCGCGATGAGCTCGGGCAGATCCTCCTCGGGAGTGCGAAAGAGGAGATCCTTGTTGGGCCAGAAGACGGGTGGGGTGAGCCCGTGGGCCCAAGCCTCGCTGTCGTCGCCGGCGCCCTGGATGTAGCCGCCCTCGGACATTTCCGCGCCATGAACCCGTTTGGAGGCGGAGCACAGGACGAATAGGTTGTAGCCGGCGCCTTTGCGCAGATCGGTCGGGTGGAAGTATGCGCGATTTGCCCAGGCGACGCGGATGGGCCGGCCTAATTGCTGCCTGAGATCATCCAGGTCGAGTTTCAGGTCCTGGTCTCCGGTGAGCAAAAACTGTACTCGGAGTGAGCGAGGCGCAAAGCACCAGGAAACATACCTTGAGCGATTGGACAAAACCGTCGATGCGGCGTTCAATCTGCGACTCCTCCGAGGCCCCCAGGAAATTCGGCGGGAATTGCACGGGGTGAAAAGCCGGGTCGGACGGGAACAGGGCTCGGTTGATGACGGCGCACCAGATGGGGACGGTTTTGGATAAGGCATCAGGCATCACTGCGGCGGTCGAGTTGAATCAGCATCCAACATCCCGGATGATCCCCGTGAACGTGATGAAGGCACTTACATTTGCCGCGGCGAGTTGAATCCACTATGATGCACCTGTACAGGTCATTGGTAGACAGGGTTAGTCGGATGAGAGGCACGAATTCCGACGAGGTCGGTTCTCCAAATCAGACTGACGTACCCCCCATGTTCCCGCGCGAGC